TCTCTTCAATTCCTCAGCTTTCCGTTTTTAATCTTCAATAAGTTTCAAATTAGCTGCCTTTTTATAGATCTTATTCTAAGCGAATGTTTCCTTGAACACATCATCAGTTTGGATCTTTTGCATCAGGTTTTCGTGATTGTTACGCTTGGATTCTGCCTTAGAGAACATTAAAGACTGCTTCTTTTACTTATCTTCTTATTAGAAGCCTACTGAGGTATTTATATCAACTCTCTTAGGAATCAAACGATCTCTTTCAGAGATAAAGCCCGGAGTCTTAGGTCCTGGCTGGAAGTTCAAGAAAGTGTTTGGAGGAGGTGGCTTTGAACTGAATCTAGTTGGTGCTACAAGTCCTATAGAAATATCATTTACAATAACATTTAAACTTACTAGGCTCAAGATCAGGCTAGAAAGATCGTCTGACTTCATTGACTGCATTTTGAAGTTAATTTGTCTTTTGAGTTAGATCTTACACTTTGGCTTTGTTTGGTACTAGGTTTGGTAAGTGTAGCTCATTTCTCTATACATTGATTTAGTTGCTCATATTTGGAGTAACTCCAGTCGAAAATGATCTGAAATCGAGGTAACCCTTATTATCCTTGTCCAAATGCTTTAAGATTCCAGCTATTTCATGCTTTGAAGCGCTAATCTAGAGTGCATTAAGTTAATCTTCAAAGTCAGCATAGGAAACGAAGCCATCACCATCCTTATCAAATTATCTGAATACTTGATAGATCTTAACTGGACCTGAGAACACCTTCTCTTCAAGGTTTTTCAAGACTTAATGGACTCTATGATTGTGAATCTCATCTTCATTAACTTCATAAAGATCTAAGTCACCATTAACATCTGGCGGAGGTGGATTACCTCTAGTTCTGTTGTTCAATTTCTTTGCTACATAGTTTTCATCAGTAAATACCATAGATGCGATGGTATTAGCATTAGTGGCACCATAGGCATTATATATAAATGCCGAGAGGAATCCCTCAACATCCTTTTTGTTTAGTTTCTTGCTAATCATTTCATCTTTACAGTGGGCAAGGACGAAGTTCTTTAATTGGTCGACAGATACATTGCCATTTTTGTCTGGTTTCAAATTATCTTTGACGAATTAGTCCAATTAGGCCTGACTCCCAAACACTCTTTGGAAATGACGATTTACCTTCACAAGGCGTTATTGAATTTACTCTAGAGTGTTCTAGGGAACTTTTTGAGAATCTAGAATTACATACTCATCATCGAATATTGTCTTGGTTTTTCTGCCTACTTGATTTAGAATATCTGATTAAGCACTGCTCCTGCTGCTCTAAGTTGGTACGCCTTATTTCTCATTGGTAGCTCTATCATAATCATAAGTTCTCAAATGATCAATCATATCTCTGTAGTTTACTTTGCCAGATTCACTATCAACGTATTCATCAACGAACTTCTAGAGCTAGTCTTGACTTTGCTTAAGATATTCTGGAATTATAGCTCTCTTTTCAATAACTTTCATTAGATCCTTGATATCTATCTAGTTTTATCTATCTTAGTCTAGATTCAGCACATCCAAAGAGATGTTATTTAGATTCTTTTAAATAAACAGCTTCCATTGATTTATCTATCTGTTTTACTTGATCGACTCAGCATCCTTTCGAATATCGTCAAGTATTAGACTTTAAGTGTTGGAAAAGTACTTCTAAAATAGGTCCTCTGTGTGCTACACGCTTTCTAGCTTGGAGAGATCAACATTCAAAGCATCATTTTATGAGAAGATTAAATCCATGAATTCATTCATGCTTAGTTAGTTGTTGTTGTCTTGGTCAGCACTTATGAGTAAAACCTGAGCCTCATCTAAGTTGACTTTCAAACCCATTTTATTCATCATTTTATGGACGTCTTTAACGTCTAGAGAACCCTTGCCCTCCGTGTCCCACTGTGAGAATATCTTTTAGAAATTTGATCTTGTTGCGTAACGGCGACGCAAAGCTCTTCTAATGTCCTTCACCTTAGCTAAGTCCACTTTACCTTCAAGTGTCTCATTATTATTCATTCTCACAAGTTGAGTTTCCTATTCAGCCTCTGCGTGCAAGTCCTCTTTTCTTTTTTGGTTGTTTTAAGATGAGGGCTTTATTTCATCAGACTACTGTAATCTTCGTTTTTTATGATCTGCATTAAATATTGATTCCCTTTCTCTAGCCTAACCACTTAAGAAGGCAGTTAACTTGGGATTATCTCCTGTGAAAACCTTATCTGTCCACTTTTACTCCTCTAATTCAGTTTCTTTAATGATTCCAATTTGCACTGGCCCCTTTACTTTCTTTCCTTTAGATTTATAAAACTCCTGAGTGCTCTCAGCTTTGGGATCTGGCTTTAGATTAGTCATTGTTTTCCAACCTCCAGTTAACTTGATTCTGTCTTTGAAGTCTGTAGCAGCTGCAGATGTCATTCTCTTAAACTGAGATTTACCCATGGTGCCGAAATCAGCAAATTTAAGAGTTGGATTGTATCTGTCTACACTTTCAATCTCTCCCTTGGTTCTATAATCAAGATTAGTGAGACCACATTGATGTGTTCTATCTCTTCTAATGTTCATATTTTATTTTATTTAGAGTAATATTTAATTTTTGATTTCATCTAATCCAGTCTTTCCCTTGCTGCTCGGGGTTTTGGGGTTTTGGGGTTTTGGGG